AAACTATCTACAGGGGATGGAGAGAGGCTGGAAATATCATGACCAGACTCTTACGAAAAGTATTGACAGAATCGTCATTGGTGTGATTGGTGTGATACCGGTTACCGCATGAGAAATATTGACGATGTTGCCGAGAAAAGAGAAGAGAAACCTTGCAGGGACTGGTTGAAAAGTGGCGTCGAAGTCGTATTATTCTCGATTGAGCTGTGCGTTGTATTGTTTGTATCAACCAGTCGTGTTTCTGACAATTGTCACTCTAGCTCTGCCCAGCGTCTTTGAACAGGGGGGGAGAATGAGGGAAACCCGGCACTACTGCAAGCCCCGATCCCAACGCTTGATGCTCTCAAGGGGTGTTAGTTGCTACTGGGAGCTGAGTTTTTCCACGTCTTCTTTAGCCTCCTCTCTCCTTGAAGTCCTTTTGTAAGAAGATTATCATATCGGTGTCTAGGTGAGGTTCAGCTCGGCGTTATCCTAAGAGGCTTGCTGGAAAACCTCGTAATTAGATCCATTAATCAATATATTAACGCGGTATTGCCAGCGCATCCGTTCGCTTCGTCCCGAGGCTTTTTTTTTTAGGGTATCCAAACCCGGAAAGTGAAAAAGGCGGAAAAAGTGTCCGTCAGCTGGAAGGCCACGGCAGCAGATGGGTCCCCGTCATCCTCTAATGTACTAATGTATGAGAGCAACGCCCAGAAACGAACATTGAAGCTGACATTGGCATTAAGCTGGGCGAGTCTGACAAGAGTGGGTCAGGCCCAACTTCGGAGCGGGCCTGAGGCGACTTCCTTCTTGTCTGGCCTGGTTTCTGCGAATAGAAAGGCGAAAAGGAAACACTTACAAAACAGCCTTTTTCTCTTTTCTTCGTTAGCGCGGCCTAAGCCCCCGTCCACGTTTTTTCTCCAACTTCCTCGTGTCCGGAGGTCTCGGTCAGCTCCGCATTCCTTGCCTTGAAACGGGGAAAACGAAAGGGTAACCCAAAACGAAACCCCCAAGTTTGGGTATTGACAAGACAAGGGAAAAGGGAGGGGGATGATCAGACTTTCGTGCCAACTATTCACCCATTTGACGTCCTTGTGTCTCTCCTCTCCCGCACCCCGGCAGCCTTGCGTGCGAAGGGCGAGATATTGGGACATTTCCAGGTGACAGGTCGCCACTGCTCTCCGATTTTCGATATTCTTTCCCGACTTGGGGTTGGAGTTTATGATTTTCTGTGGGGTTTTTTGTCAATAGCGTAGAAAGCTTGTAAACTTACATGGCGTACATGCAACCTGACGTATCGAAGAAACGTCCGTTGATGCTTCTCTCGTGCATGCTCGTAGACCTGGACGCCTGGGCCCGGACATTGACACAGGGAACTGGGCTGAAGAGAAACAACATTGAACGTACGAGACGATGAGGGGCCGCAAGTGAGATTGGGGCCAAAGCTCTGTTACATCTGATGAGGCCTTGACCTTGTTGATGGGGAAATCCATATTTTAATTGCTTGACCTTCTTTTTCATGATTGTCTGAGGTATCTTGTTGATGTTGTCATGGCTTGGCAAAGTGACTGATTGTGACTGATTCATGATGGACCGGGGGGAAGGTACCAGTCTTTTGCAGATCTTCTTCTTCTCTTCTTTTATTTTTTTTTTTTCCTGATTTTTATTTTATTTTATTTTCTTCTCGGGCTTTTATGTTGGCGAAGTCCGGCAAATCCAACATATATCCACCCAATCGATCCTTCATGCATGGCATAACAGGATGAAGAGGGCAGGATCTGGCTGATTGATATCCATTCTCCATCCTCCTCATGCTTTGCCAGGAGGCGTAATACTTCCGTAGTAATAAATATAGTACAGATCAAAATCCTTTAGTTCAGATCCCGCCCCAGTTTTCGTTTCTCTTTTTCCAAGAACATCCAAAGCCAAGGAAATATTTCCCAGGAACCCAGGGACCCCCCAAGGGGGCCAGACCCAGTTTGTTAGTGTCGTCTCATGTCTCACGTCTCACGTCTAGAGTGGATTTGTACTTGTAAGAAAAAATAAGCCTTGTCAAGTCGAAGATCGAAATCTTGGCTCCATCGATACATAGACCTTTAGGCCAAGACTTGTACGTTCCCTTCCCCCCAGTTTCTGGGCCCCGAAGGCTCCGGTGGCTCTTTTGAAGGTGAAAGAGTGTTTGCAAAAGCAGCCCGATGCCAAGGTGTTTTTTTTGGTTTGGTCTTCTACTTGTATTTCCCCCTTAAAAGTTGGAGACTTGGGTCTCACTTGACCATTGACACGTTCTTTCCTTTCCTCTCTTCCCTCTCTTCTGTCTTTGCTCTTGGATCTTTGTGTCTGTCTTGTCTATCGAATCCGGTCTATCGTTCCCAGATGTTTTTCTTTGTTCTTTTTTTGGAATACATTTTTGTCTCTTCTTGCTTGCTTCTTTGAGATATCCCGTCGTCGTTGGTTATACCCTGTCGTTCTCGGTGTCTTCAAGCTATCCTCGGAGTCACACCGAACATCGAATCTCTATCTTCAGTCGACACTAAGGCCCGATCACCACCACCACCACCACCTTCGGCCTTCCACTCCTTCCAACTCCCGAAGTGGCTCACCGTCTTCCGAAAACAGAGCCTCACACCCCAACCCCAACCCCAACCCCAACCCATCGCTGTCGTCCGTTCCGGTTGCCCGTTTTCGAAATTCTTCGAGCCAACAAGATTATGCTTATTTCCCTTCCAATATTAGAACCTTGAACAATTTGGTTCCTTCCGCCCCAAAAACGACCAGGGAAATATCACCAAAAGAGTGACGCCTACAGCCGCCAGAACCAATAAATCCCCAAAAACGGTTTAAATCACCAACCTTAAACCAGGGGTGCGAAGGTCTCAAAAGTGTTGCTGTCACTTTGCCCCAGCGCGCTAATTCCGACGTTGCATTCCTACCCTATACGAAGACGAGCTGGGAAACCCGAACCATTGGAAATCAATTCGACCCGATTCCGAAGTACCTCTGGTTCCTTGGTCCCAGCTTTCTCTGCCAAGTCACATTTACACCGCACAACAGTTGGGAGGGTACTTACCCCCCTTTTCCCCCGCCCTCACACAATGTCCTCCAAGAGAAGCAAGAGACTATCAATCCTAGTCTCCAGGCTCATGCACCGCCCTCGCAAACACATCGTCGCCGAGTCAGTATCATCGTCCTCACGACCGGCAACATCACCATCCTCCCCAACCGATACCACCACTACCCCTGTCAATAACACTACCACCACGACACCGAGCACACCACCCGTTATCCCGGCCCTACAGCTAGGAGAAACAACGGCGACACCAGAAGGATCAAGCCTAAACCTGCCCCTAATCCTATCCTCCACCCCTACCCCGTCAACTAGCACGCCAAGTTCCAGTGGCACTTCCAAATCGGACCCCGTGCTAGCCATGCCCTCCTCAGGTGCCTCCACGCCTCCCACAACCATCCACGGCGCCAACTCCTCCCTCCCCAGCACGCCGCGCCGGCGCGCCTCCCCTGTGTCGGACCAATCGCCCACCAGCCCATTCATCTGCATCCCCCTCTACATCTACCCGAGCCCTCAGGCCTGGGAGCCCCTAGTCGAGGCGGCACTAGCCCACCCGACCTCATACTTCCACGCCGTTGTCAATCCCAGTAACGGGCCGGGGACCACACCGCTGCCGGATGAGAACTACGTCGATGCCCTACGACGTCTCTCGGCGCTGCCTAATGTGACTATCCTCGGCTATGTCCACGTCACGTATGGTAAGCGGCCGGTCACCGATGTCGAGAATGACATTGGTGAGTACGCTGCCTGGAGCACGCGGGATACATTCAAGGCCAGCGATGACTACTATGAGGAGTCGGCGCGCATCAGGATAGATGGCATCTTCTTCGACGAGACGCCCTCGGACCCGGAGATGCTACCCTACATGTCCCGCGTGTCCAGGTGTGCCAAGCGTCTTTTACGCGGTGCTAAGAGCGGAGCCAACGGTCTCGTCATGCTCAACCCCGGCGTGGTGGTGGCGCCGGCCTACTACGACATGGCGGATTACGTCGTGGCGTTCGAGCAGGCCCACGAGCACTGGAACGCCACAAGGGATGAGTTCCTAGAAGGCTTGGGCGGCCGGTCGAGGAGGCAGAAGACGGTCGTCATGGTGCATACGTGTCCCGAGGAGCAGACCGAGGTCGAGGGGCTTGTTGGCGAGGTGAGGAAGGCGGGGATTAGTGGGCAGTTCCTTACTGAGCAGGTTAACGGCGGGTATTCGCAGTGGCCTTGCTGGTGGAGTCAATATGTTGATTCTGTATTTTTGCATCAGTAGAGTGGAAGAGGAGACAGAATGGGATTTAATGGTGAGGAAGGCTTGGCTCCAGTGTAACCTGGGCCAAGAAAAAGCTTATCTAGGCATCATTTCAGAGGCGTGAGTCCATCGACAAAGCCAAGGTCTGGGCAGTGGACTCTTGGGAACCCTCGGGAACAAGGGTGTGCATTGAAGAAAAAAAGAAAGAAAAAAGAACAAAAAAAGAATCGAAAAAAGGCTTGGTATCGTGAAGCCAAGACGTTGGTTTGGGAATCTAATATCATGAGCATTCTATATATATCATCAGACAGGCATTCTTTCTTTGCATGGTTTAAATAAGGTTTGGGCATCATCAATTCAATTACTTGGCAGATCCGACATTCTGAGTCTGGATTTGCGACTAAGACAAGAAGACTCGCTACGAGGTAGTGTACACAATTACACTGTAAATACAGAACCGAATATTTCGTGGCAAATGGGATATCAATTGATCTAAATTAACGTATTGAGATGACCAAGAAGGAATGAAGAAAAAAACACGAGGGGAATAAAAAAAAAGGGGGAATAAAACAATAAAAATTACAAGTGCCCTCCCCCACGAGAATTAGCGAGAGAAATGCCCCATGCTCTGTCTGCTGTATAATGTCTAACACAATTTGCGAAAGTAAAAAGAACCCATATAAAAAAAAGTAAGAAAAAAAATTAAACGAGTGTGTAATCCTTCTATGCATCCTGAATCGAAGTCGTGAATGTCTTCCCATCGCAATACTCCACCCACCCATCAAGATTCATATTCTTCAACACGGTGCTAAACTCCCCAGCGCCCTGGCTCGCGCACCTCCTCTTCGACTCGTCGGCGAGGCTCGTGCCCTTGGGGAGCTCTTCCTTGGGATACTCGATGCGGAAGACGGGCTTGTTGGCCGTGATGAACTTTTCAAAGGTCCCGCACTCGTCGAACTGGCCGCACTGCTCGTTGACGGAGAAGTCGACGTAGGGGAGGGCCTGCTCGATGATGTCGCCGGCGTTCTTGAGGCCTACGGCCATTTTGTACTTGGCGGCCTCGAGGGAGAGGAATTTCATGAAGTCGACGGAGTCTTTGGCGGTGAGGTCGAGGCCGTTGTCGTTTTGCTTCGGTGAGGGAGTTAGTTCGTTGCCTCAAAGAAAAAAAATAAAAATAAAAATAAAGTCATGCTGGAAGTGAGAAGGGTTAGGGTTCTTCCACTTACGTATCCGTCGACGTTGTCGGGGTCAATAGCATCGCAGCCCTTGTCGGCAGCAATCTTGATCCTTGCCGCCATGATAGAACGAACGTTCTCACTCGAAAGCTTCAACCACTTCTCGCCGGGCCAGCCATCAAGCTCCTTGCCAAGATCCTCCGCCTGGAATTTATCCTTATCGTCCCTCCAGTCCTCGTACGAGCCCGCACTGAAGTAGCAAATGACCTTCTTCCCCTTCTTCTGTAGCTCGGAAAAGTTCTCGGCGTCATTGTTGAACAGATCCAAGTCGTACACGGCCACGTCGGGCGTCAGCTCCTTCGTCAGGTCGATAGGGTGGAGGAGGATGATCTGCCACGAATCGCCCACGGCGGGCGTCCACTTCAACGTGCGGTTGACGCCCGTGTCGGGCGGGCCGAGGTCCTCGTTGCCGCTGTCGTCGTCGTCGCCGTTGCGGAGGCCTAGGCCGAGACCGAGACCGAGGGCTAGACCGATCACGACGATTACTCCGGCGATTATGAAGGCGAGGCGGCGCCAGCGGGTGGGGTTCGCGAGGCGGAGTTGGTCGCCCTTGCCTACGGAGTCGGAGTTGTAGTTTAGTTGAGACATGGTCGGCGATTTAGGTGTGGTGTGTAGCTGCGCCGTTCGAAGAAGAGGGTGGTTGAGGTTGGTGTCGGCGGGTGGGAGAGAGGTCGACCTCGCGCGAAACAATTAAGCTTCGCTGGGAGGGTGTCGCGGGATCGGGTTTTTGGAGGTTCGGTCGATCAATGACGTGGGAATTGGGGGCGTGCCCTTTTTTGGCTTGTCGGAGATCCCCTCGTAGGGAGAGTGTTCCTTGTTCCAGTCGAATTGGGGAAGTCTTGGCTGACAAGGCTCGAGTTGATCGTCGGAGAGCTGAGAGAAAGGTAAAAAAAAAAAAAAAAAAAAAAAAAAGGAAAGAATAAAAAGAGGGATGCGAACGAGGGTCCGAAATAGATATATTTATTCCCTCTAGAAAAATGGAGTCGTCGGCCAAAAACAGAATTATCAACGAACGACTGCAAAACCACCAACAATTAAAAAAAGAAAAGATCGTCAGAATACAGTCAAAGAGGGCCAGGAACTTTTTGCTCTTTTACTCCACAGACGCGTGGCGGTGGTGGTTGCTCTTGAGCCACGATGCAGGACAAGGGAAAAAAAGGACCAAAGAACAGAAATGCCCGAGTCGGAATGCGGAGAATTGGTGGGTTTGGAAAAGGGCCGCTGAGAGGGCTGTTTAGATTGAGGCTGTCGTCAGCGCGGGCTTGGGAAACGTTGGACCCCGGGTGAGGCGGAGCTTTCTGCGTGCGGGCAATGAACTGTAATTGTCTGGGCGCTGGAAAGGCCGGGATGGCGCCAAGAAACGGACGAGAATGGGGTTGGTTGGTCGCTGTTAGACTGAGAGGTTTTAGGCGCTTTAGAGGAGGAGGTAACCGCTGATTCAGGTGTGGGAAATGGAGTTTCTGCGGACTGCTGGTCGAATCGTCAAGGCACCTGACAGGACCTGTGCTCGATTGGCTGCGTTGTTTCTGCTACTACCAGCCCTACAAGTAGGGAGTATATGTCTACAAGAGATTTGGTTCGACTTGGAGGTACCAAGTTGGAACTGGAGGGAACGAGGGAATGAGGGAAAAAAAGGTGATGTAGTATTCTAGGCGGCAGTTCAGGAGTATTGGACGGCCCTACGCCCTTGTAGAGTAGGATCGTCGTATTAGCTCGAATCGGGAGGGAAAGGCCTGTTGCTCTGCTTGCGTTGAGTGAGGTGGAGACTGAATTGCGACTTTAATGCTAGGTCGATAAAATGGACATTGGATGATATGAGTAGTGTAAAGTTTGCTGATGTCTTCTCAGTTCTTCAATGGGTCCAGCCAGGCCCGATCAACCGAACCCCTTTACTGCCTCTGTCCAAAGTCAGCTATGACGAGTATGAGTGGATCTGTTGGTGCTATTTGCCCGCAGCCGTGTTAAGAGACATTTATCAATTGAAGATATATCTCAATTGATCCGGGTGGAATGAGATTGAGACTACGAAATATTGTAGCCACAGCGGGGGTTCTTCCCACCAGTCGGCTCCAGAGAAATTGTGAAAATTGTCAAAAACAACCCAGGCCTTTTTACTGGTGGCATGACAGAGACACAGACAGACAGCCTGGCTAGGGGTCTTCATCCCCTCTTGTTGTACTTGGATGGCTTCGGATGAGAAGAGGTGGAAAACGGATGTTGCGGTGATGAATACGAAAATACAAGTAATATTGCGCACGTACTTCGCACGAGAGAATGAGAAAGTCGCCAGATTCGAGGAGCCTGGTAATGTCGCGGTGTTGTTGAGCTGCTCAAGTCAAGCGAAGTCGTACAGGCAGATGCGACCCCGGATTTGGGAACCGTAACGCAGAATACGGAGCTGCATTGTTCCCGAGCCGAGGCGACAACTGAAGAGTACCTTCATTGATTAAAGGAATACATCGTGTACTTTAAGTACTTAGTGCTGACAAGAACAGGGACAGGGGCCTAATTTGAAGCTAAAACGTGGGTAGGAGATATTCCCTGTGCTCCCTCCCCACTGTCTCAAGTATAGGCGTGTCCACGCTGCCCCTCTCTGTTGCTTTGTCTCTCGTATTCAGTGGAGCCCGAGCTGGAGTTGGACCCATCGAAGAAACAATGCAACGGAGAAAAAAAAAATGGGACGAAGTTCCCCCCTTGTACACTACATCCATCCACACAGGGTCGCCAACAGCCGAGCAGGGATCAAGGGTCAAAGACCCCTAGCACGCACGTTCTTGGCCCTGTAGGCCCGCGCATACGCCGACAGATACGGCGGCCCTGTGAATGGAACATGACGTGCGCGGACCTGTCTCTAGCACACAATAACACCAGTCGAATTCGGCCAGCAGCGCGAAATGTCGTTTCTCGGGCAGGAAAGACCCTGGTCTATTTCTCCTCCATTTTTCTCCTCCAATGCGACGCGACTAGTCCCCTTTCAGGGGGCGTAAGCACAGCGAACCATTTCGATGGGTCCCTGACTTGGCCTGGAGCCAATGGTGATTTTTGGGCATACGCTGCCGAAATTGGCATGAGTATTGACGCCATGGCATGGTCGATGCGTTGTTCCAGCATTTCAGCATTACGAGGCACTGCAGCTCTACGAGATGTTCGCACACCAATGGTCAGTGCTGGGTGCTCCATGAGGTCTTCCGGAGAGGCGGAAGGGGAAAATATCCAATAATTCATGTCGTGTACTCCGTATGCCGAAATTCTTCGCGAGGGGTCAGTGATGGGGTCAGTGTCAGTGCAGGATGCAGTTGATCATTTAATGCTGACATTGCATGTTATGTTCGACTGGCATCATCACCGTGAAGATGGAAGATGTCATCATCTTCATTTCGATTTCTCAAGATGTGACCTCTTTAACGTCGGCGGGGCGCATCGCGCAGTTTGCCAACACCCGAGACATTCGAGCGGTAAGTAGTGAATGGTGACACTGATCGGCGAGCTTCTTTTTTTGACCTGAGGCTGTCTGTGTTCTCCATGTCTTGGGCGCCGAGACACACATCCACACTCGCTCACATAAACTTACAATCACACACACGCACTCAAGACGGAACCCGGCATTGAAGAATTTGGCAGCTCAGTACTTCTTAGTGAGATTCGATTTCAGGTGATGGTACCACCTGCCGTACGATTGAGTTTGGAGCACCACCAAGTTGCTCCTGCCCTTGGAAATTGGGCGAATCATATGTCCAGAACTGGCATAGCTTCAGCCCCACACTTTTTGGGCTGTGCGGAAAGAAAGAAGGACGGTGAATACTTTGGCGGTACCAACCACATCGCAGCTTTTGCAATACTCTTCGGAAGTACACGTGGGGTGCAACAGGGTATCTTGGTAAACTTAATTTCCACGAGGAGTACACAAGTACAAACTTTGTAAGCAAGAAAAAGGGTTGACAGCATCGACAGGAGAAGGAGGGAGAACCGAAGAAACCAGGTCGTGGTTGCCCGCAAAATTGGGACAGCATGGGCGCTAATGCGTCGTGCCTGAACCTGGCGCTGGAGTTCAACACCCTCTCTGGTCGCCCCTTCCACCCCCCTTTTGGGCGGAGGTACATTCATCGACGCTTGTTAACGCTTTCGCTTTGTCACAAAGTATATACTTACTGGCTTCACAGCGTTTACTTTTTGATTCTAGGCACTGAAGACGGACCCGTTCCAGTGGGCCTGGCGCTAGAGGTGCCCACTAAATCAGTGAAGCTGAGCCTAGAAATGCTCCGACGATGCCCCGGAGAGGCCTGACGCCACAGTCGTACTGGCTTTATGTTGGAATTTCTCATCCACTTTTCAAGGCCTTCCCCTCTCGACCTTGTAGGACAAACTGCGGCGATCTCCCCGCTGGTCAGTGTGTTTCTGTCCGCTTCGGCTAAGGAGCCGACTCGCTTCTGGACAGTGCTTGAATAAGGAGTCAATGGAGATCCCCAAGGGGTGAGCAAAGCGACGGCCTCTGGCGGGAACGGAACGAGGCAACAAAGCGCCACTTCATTTCCCTTGCTTGTCGTCGGATGGAGTGCCGAAAGTTGCATACAAAATGGAAGATATCTGCGCTGTATTACTTCAGTCTATTCCGTACAAAGTATGTGATACTTCGGACAAGAAGTGAGAGCCTTCTCGGTAGTGTATGAGTGCACTCCTGGGAACGGAACGGGAAAAAGGAGTGGACGGCGCGGAATCTAGGCTAGGGAGAGAGACCCAGGAACCGACCGACCCATCACATTATCGTCATTACGAATAATACGTCTCCATAAGCTCTAGGGTGACGCCCGCTTCCTACGAAATGGGATTACTACTTGGGAGGATCAGGATGACATGACATCCTTCTGCTGCATTCTCATAAATATTTACCGTTTTTTTTATTAATTTACATCCGCTCGGGCGGTGCCCCCTTAGCCCTATCGTGATTGCACCTCGCCCGTGGTTGAGAAGGAGGAGCAGACAAGTACTTCGTCGATGCAGAACCAGCCGCACGGGGATCCTTAATATCACAGAGTGTCGCGTACGAAATACTTCATTCTCAGTACTTCTCGCGGGTACATGGTACAGGGTACCGAGCATAGGGCTCACGCACTAACATGTTTCCACTGCGGATCCAGTAGAAAACTGGTTAACACGCCGTGAACCCGAGACTTGGCCGGGAGCCTCCTTTCATCAGCCCAGCTCAGCTTGAATTCTCGAGCCCAGAGCGGAACCAGAAGAGACGCAAGCACCCATATTATTATGCCCCAAATAGCAATACCCGAAACCCGCTTTAACTCGAGATTTTCGTACCCGGTCTTCATGCTTTCCTCCCTACCCAAATCCGTGGAAATACGGCACCCATATCTGGGCTTTTGAGCAATCATAGGCGAAAACCATCCAGCCCGTCGGAGGATACTTTGCGCCTCCAGCTTCCCACCTTAATCCCGTTGCTACCACCCACACCCCCCATCCATCAGTCATGCATGTCTCTGCTGGCAGCAACCGCTTTTTCTTCGTATTATGTGACTGGAGCCAAGCCACGTCGCGGGGAGAGACACCCACATCAGAGGACGGACCGGGTGTCTGCGTTTCCGCCCAGTTCTTCAATCGCCTCAGTACGAAGCACGAAGCATTGCCCAGCATAGTTTAGAAATTAAATCCGAGACTCTCGCCTGAGACCGTCGAAATTAGCACTATTTTTTTTTTCTTCTGATGAAGGTGATGGAAGATTGCCGAAGGAACTGACTTGGAGACCGGGTCTCACCAAGTGATGTCTTCTACGTTTAGAGTTTGAGTCCGTCAGGTACAGGGCACACCTCCATGGCGTTCGCTTGACAACAGCGCAAACATCAGTGATCCATCAAAGATTCTCGCCAATCACCCAAGGCGTGTTTCCCCTGAGCGGCGCTGACCTTAGTCTGACCGCCACCGAATTAGAAACCGCCCTATGGACAGGGAAGGGAAAGAGAGGTTCCCGGAACCAAATATTGGTTTTCAATCATTGATTCGTATTCCTGTTCCAGCTGTCGTACTTCGTACACCATCGGCCAAGTAGGTACCAGGAAAAATCAATAGTCCAAGGTTACTGCATTGGCCCATCAAATTTTGGGCGAGTCCACAAAGCAAGGTTCCCCCTCGTCTGCTTGTCGCCCTGTCTTCAGCATCTGTCTGCTCCCATTTCACATCGAGGTAACTCGTACCGTCACTCTCTGTGTCTCTCTTGGCCCCCAGCAGCCTTGTTCCCCCTTCCCCACACCCACCCTATTTTTCACGCTTTTCCTGGGCGAAGAGAACCAAGGAAAGAAAGCCGCCCAGCCATGACAGAACGGCGTGGAAATAGCGGGACCCCTGTATGGCTTAGTGTAATCTCCACCAGCGTTTGGCATCCTGTACGCTACGCTACGAAGGTACACACGACCATGTCCTGTCCTGTCCTCGTTTACCACCAAGCCCAGCCCACAGCCCATCGTGCCTTATGCGCGCCCACTACGGCTTCTTGGATCCTTGGTCTGACCCCCCTTTGGGTTGCCCGGCTGTCCCCCTGCTCGCGAAGATGTAGTATTTCTTAAAAGAGCTCGGTTCCAGGGCTGAAAGTCTTCCTTCTTCTTTCCTTCTTTACCTTAGGTCCTCCCACCTCTTTTTAATTCGTGTAGGCTTTGTTAATTCCCAAGGGTTTCTTTCAACCTCGAGGATCATTCCTACATTTGTCACTCGTTTAGACACTCGACCTTCGTTTTGGTAATTGTTTTTGTTTGCAGCATCGTTTTTTTAGTAATTCGAATCACGAAAAAATCTCCCGGAAAAAAAAGAGGCACAAACCCAAACGATGCGTTTCTTCAAGAGCGCCGTCGGCGCGCTTCTCGCCCTCCAGGCGGGAGTAGCCTACGCCTGCACCAAGACCATCACCGGTACCATCCTCATCATCGGTCGTGACGACTACGATGTCTCCAACGGTGCCGCCGGCTTCAAGGCCTACGGCATCAAGACTGAGGGCTTCGTCGTCCCCAAGGCTGGCGCCACCCTCCCCGCCCTCAACTCGACCATCGAGCGCGGTAACTACGGCGGTATCGTCGTTATGGCCGAGGTTTCCTACGAGTACGATGGCGGCAACTGGCACAGCGCCCTCACCGCCGACCAGTGGAATGCCATTTACCAGTACCAGATCGACTTTGGCGTGAGGCTGGTCCGCCTCGACTCTTATCCCACTCCCGAGTTCGGTAAGTTGGCGATGGGCGCGGTGTATTGAAAGGGCATGGAAAGCTGACTTTGGAAATCAGGTACCACCGCCCTTGGTGGATGCTGTGACACTGGTGTTGAGCAGAAGGTCGGCTTCAGCGACGTTTCCGAGTTCCCTACTGCCAACCTCAAGACGTAAGTACCATAACCCGTACGAGGCGAGAAAAGAAATTGGCTAACGGGATGAAATCTATGAATAGTGGCGGTTGGGTCTCTACCACGGGTCTCTGGCACAGCCCTGCGTCCATCTCCGATGCCAGCATCGCCACCGCTTTCGCCGAGTTCAGCCCCGCCGGTACCTTCACCTCCAACACTGTTGCTGCCGTCATCAACAAGTACACCACCGGACGCCAGCAGATGGTCTTCTTCACCAGCTGGGCCAGCGACTGGTCTCTCGCCTCCAACTATCTCCAGCACTCCTTCATCCACTGGATCACCCGCGGTCTTTGTAAGTGCTGTCCAAATTTCGACGGGCTCCGTGTTTAGGCAGGTTCTATTTTTACCGCGGCTTCTGTTTTTATCTTTTTGCCGCCACAGGAACAGCCAAGCCTCTTTCTTACGTGCAGCGTTTTAATTAATCGGCTGCATCATGATGAGATCCTATTTCGCTAACACGTGGAAAAACGTACAGTCTCTGGCAAGCGCAAGACCTACCTCAACACCCAGGTCGATGACGTTCACTTGGCCACTGGCATCTACTATCCCACCACCGTCGGTGAATTCCGCCTCCGACCCGCGGATCTGACTGCCATCAAGACCTGGCAGGAGGGCCTCCAGACCCGTCTCCCCGCGGGTTCGCACTTCTTCATGGAGCTCGCCCACAACGGTAACGGTGCCATCATCGAGGCCGTGGGCAAGTCCGGCAACACCTGCAACCCCAACGAGCCTGTCGACTACGACGAGATTCCCGATGTCCCCTACGACTGGATCAAGCCCCTGGGCTCCGGCACCGATATGTGGCCTCCTTCGTTCACCACCACCTACCCGTGGAACGCTCAGTGCCCCAAGTCCGATGACCTCCTCGCCTGGTTCCAGACCGCCTCCAACCGTGACGCCTTTGCCCATCTTTCTCACACTTTCACCCACGAGGAGATGAACAACGCCACGTACAACGATGCCAACCGCGAGATGATTTACAACATCCAGTGGCTCAAGGACACCGGATTCTGGACCGCCGAGAGGTTCTCCCCGAATGGTCTCGTTCCTCCCGCCATCACTGGTCTCAACAATGGTGATGCCATCCGCGCCTGGATGGAGAACGGCATCAAGTACGTCGTTGGTGACAACACTCGCCCTCCCCTGAGGAACTCCCAGAGCCAGTACTGGCCTCTCATCACCAACTCTGCCGTTAACGGTCACGACGGTCTTGTTGTCGTCCCTCGCTGGGGTAAGTGGGAAATCTTAAGAGTATTTTGGACGATATTTTCCCGGATTTGTGACTAACTTGGGTTTTCAGCTACTACCATCTACTACAACTGCGACACCCCCGAGTGCACCTGGCAGGAGTGGCACGATACCTCGGCCGGCACTGGCGACTTCAACACTCTTCTTGATGATGCCAGGCTCACCAACACCCGCTACCTCTTGGCTCTCCACCCCGATCCCTACATGTTCCACCAGGCTAACCTCCGCAACATTGTACGTCTTTTTTTCCCTCTTCAATTGACATTCCCTCGTAGCCTCTGTCTCTGGAAGAATGCGTAAGCTAACGGCTCATATTTAGGACCGCCCCGTCTTCACCATTGGACCCGTCAGCGAGAAGCTCTCTCTTATCCAGATTTGGATCGAGGCCATCACCCAGGAGCTCACCAGCCTCACCAACTGGCCCATCCAGTCTCTCAAGCACGATGACATTGCTCAGCTCTTCCTTGACCGCATGACTCTTGAGTAAGCTGCATATTCCTCTGACTCTTCTCTCCTTATTCTTTTTACTAACTACTAATTCTCTCAGTCAATGCGAGCCCAACGTCGAGTACATCTACTCGCACGACACCAAGAAGATCACCGGTGCCAACCTCATTGCCTCGGGTAACTCTTGCGGCGTCAACGTTCCTCTCACCGTCCCCGGTGACGTCGTCACGTCCACCAGCGGTGTCTTCAAGGACCAGGTCGGCTCCGAGCCCATCATTGCCTGGGCTCCTCTCAGCGGCAGCCCTGTCAGCTTCACCCTCAACACCCCCGTCGATGCCTAAGCGAGCGGTAAGCTCTGATGGCGGACAGAGCCTCTTATTGTTTTCTCTGTCTCGTTTTGTTTTTCCTAGCCCTGCGTTGTCCCCTTTAGTCCCTTGGACCCATGTTAGGATGGATAAATAAACAGGAGAAGAGAAAATTGGGAAAATACGGAAGCAGACGAGATGAAAAAGATCATTTTTGTGTGTATCAATGTGGAGTTTTTCATGTGCATATGGAATAATATCTAGTACAGGGTTCATTGGGAACGCAAATAACGGGAATTGTAGATGGGTAAAGACCAGGACACCTCTTTTTTTTCTCTCTTATTTTTCTTTTATTCGATAACAAAAACGTAATTCGAGGGTTTACAATTTTGGAGCCTCCTTTTTTCTTGAAGCTTGCATGAACAAACAGGTCAAGATGTTTAGGGTTCATGGAATGGGAGAGGGTTCTCGATTTCGTTTTCTGCTATCTTTTTCTTCTTTACCTTTTATAACCTTAAGTTGAAAACTTTCGATTCTAATGTGCATGATTGAACAATATTTTTTCTTTTCATCCCGAGTATTCCTATGCTTCTTGTGGTCGAGGTGAGTGGTCAGTCCGAGGATGGAGACCTCGTTCTTTGGTCTGCTTCTTCCATCAGACGTCTTGTAACCACGCCCGTTTTCCGCAGGGTTCTCTTCTAAGTAATGAGGTTTTAAATTCCCTAGATACGATCTCGAGGATGTTTTCTATCAGGCTGTAGTATTTTTTTCCGTTTTTCTTTCTCTCATTTCTGTCTTCTAAGATATGGAGATTTTCGGATTTAGGCAGATTGATTGCCTCTTCGTTCAATGCACGGCAGAAGGTCTCGCCTAGGAATACATGCCGAGCAGCTCAGTGCCGGCATTGCAGAAAAATAAATGAAGAGAATTACGTCCGCAAAGTAAAGAACTTTCAACTCGCGTTCTAGAATCTGGTCTCATCGTGCCTTGGGGTTCGGGAGGAGATAGATTACGCGGCGGTTAATTTCCGACGCTTCATTTATATATTCCAAAGTCGACGTATTTCCTACTTGCAAATGTATCGTGAGAATGGAGTGTAGGTTACGGTAACCGCTGCTAAGTATCTTCAGGTAACTTTTTGTAATGGAAGAAGGCTCCCGGAGCGAAGGGAAACGCATATTATTTCCGCCGGATGAACAGACGAGATTCTTGGCTTCCGGGTTGAAAGACGGTGAGATGGTTTTGCTTTGGTTCTCCAGTAGGTCTCATGGGCCTCGTAAGCTTTGGGCCCGGGGGGACCCTCTTTTTATGAGCCAAGATTGAGCTATAGGAGGGGAGAGAACAAGTGAGGTTTGGGACACTTACCCACCGGGTTTATATCAATACCGTTTCCCCGGCCGCTCAAATCTGGCATCGAGGGCCGATTCAATGACCGGGATGCTCGAATGGGGGCATAGCACCTGCTTTTTAACACAGCTTGAGGTGCCACGAAGGGGGGTGGGGTGGGGTGTTTTCTCTGTATAGAAGAGGGTGATATGGATGATAGAGCTGCTTTTGGGCCGGGGATTATGGGGAAAGCTAATATATCTGAGGGAAACAGGGAGAAGCAGCACAGAAAATCCGGGGGAGTGGGACGGCGCGAACTGAGGGGCATTGAGGCGGCCCGGAAAAATATGGGAATGAGGGGAATGGGATGGGACACGTAATGGAGATATGGGGAAATAGGGGAGGGAGATATAGACTGTGTGGTGCAAAATCCGGGATGCCGGGGATGTGAAGATGGCCGGTTGATCTTGGTGATCTTCCGTGGCTTTTGTGAGAGGTGTGTCGATAATTGGGCCTGGGGGAATCGGGAAATGGTGGGTTGCACAGAGAAAAGAGCACTGGTCCCTGTGTGATCTTCGTCGATGGACTTGATATGGGGAAGGTACGTGGCACATATGAATGGATGGAATGGATGGAATGAATGAATAGGCTCGTTGTTTCGGAATCTGGAGGCGTCTGTGTGGCGGTCGGAGGCTGATCTCGGAGGACCGCCCCCGTGTAACCAACGCGCGATGATGTTTTCCGGGCCGGTGACCGGAAGCCAATACGCCGGCATTGTGCCCCGTCTTTACAAAAGTGGATGGAGACGGTCTGGTTGTGTACTGTATGACCCCGACGTCTCTTACGAGCTTGGTTGACTTCACTGTTTGCGGTGGTGTGGATGATGATAATAATAAATATCCTGCTTCGGTGTCGGGGGATCTTTAGGGCTATGTGGTTGGCTATGTGCTCTAGGTTGAAGTGGTGGTAGAGATGCCTTGAGGTCGAGGACTTGCGAGGCTCGTTTTTATATTGAACATTCACTTTTCTTCCCTGCCTATTTCATAAGAGTCATAGACTGCCTGGAATCGGAAGCTCCACGATGATCCTATCTCCGATGCTCTGATGTGAATCTGATTGAACATGATCGTGGTGTCCACAGCCTCGGTCGCAATGCCTTCAATATTGTCTTGCGATGTCTTTAGGTTCGTAGAGCTACGATAAGAACCTCAGCAAGCCGGAGTCGACTATTGAAGTTCAGGTCCGGTGCCATGGCTGATGATGGTTCCCATTTCGTTCGCTGCAACTGTCTCTCCATGGCAACTTTCACAATGGAGGAGAAAGTGGGATCGGAAGGCTGCTATTTAGCATTACTAGAAATTGGCACCATGTCGCCAAACACGCCGTCAGCCTTGGGAACTAGGCAAGCGATACTGACTTCCCAGTTCACATCGTTCTGGGCAGAGAGGAGTGTACTCCGAGGAAGCCATACAATTTCACTGAGATGAGTGCGACGATACCAACATGGACTAAGGTTTCTGCAGCTTTGGCGAGCACAGTTTCCCAGTTCGATAGGATAATAGCAACGGCTGAGCAGCCATGACGCCGATATTGGATCGGATCAGTTAATCCTGGGCTTGAAGAAGTCCCTTCAGAGAACTGGTGTGTGTCCTTCAAGCTTTTTGAGACCACGCTCGTTATCGTGAACGCGGACGGACGTTCTGTCTGGGCGCTTCCTACCTATCCCGGCCTCTATCGTGATATTGAGCCATGCCGCCGAGCGATCTGGGCCAGGTCGTGTTGTAGGGAAGACATCTCAACTTCAATCCTGATTGCTGGGGAGTCCTGGTTTACTGCCTGTCCTTACCCGGGGTCTCCTGCACGTCTCTTTTGAATGGTATTCTATTCAGCGGCTTGAGACCCATATCCGTGATTGAAAGAAGAGGCAGATTTCCCGGACACACACTCTCTCTACCTTTAGCGTAATGGTTCTCCGGGACCAGAAGCCGCTGGGATGGGGCCCTGATGGATAGAACTGGCCGTATACATTCCGTGTGATGATCGTGAAAGAGACCCCGCTAGAAAATGGAATATTCGCCCGTTCGATCGTATCAGAAGGGCCGAGGAGGTGTTGGTGGAACATGGTTCCCCAGTTTGTCCCTGTGGGATCGCGTTGTCGACGACGCAGTTGTAGAGATTAGAATTCTCAGCCCCAATCAATTCCCACCTTGACATTGTCTTCACCGTGAGCCTGGTTGTTTCTATGCCGTTACACAGTGGGGGATACGAGGTTTATTAACTAGAGGCTTCAAGTTTGCGGAGACGATTCCACCAAGAAGTTACGCGGGACTCTGCTAAAGCTACTGGTCACAACTCTGAAGATGGAAATCGGGGATTAGAGAGACGATAACCTCCACTCAGTCTCCTACGCCCCTAAGATGGCTGCATTTACATCCCACCAAGACCTCACGGCTGACTTGTCATGACCACGATCACGGCAAGCGCCAATTGTTGTTGCCTCTGAGGTAACGTTTGATACCGGAGAAGGAATAATCATCTTGGCACATCGCTGGAAATGACCCCGAACGGTTCGGGGAATGGATCGGGGCGAGGTTAACGATTTGCAACCCAACATAAACGATGGTGGACGGGATGCGATACGGAATGTGGTAAAAGAGAACGGTCGATTCGAGGGGGTGTCCTTTAGGCTGTCTGCCCCAGTGAAGGGTCACATCTCAGCACCTACGTGGTTACAGTTGGTTGGGTGAACTATCTAGATCAGTGACGTCGATATGGAAACATGTTTGTGCCCGCTGGAGGGCGGGGAATCTAGGTCGTCCGTCGTCCGTGGAAGGGACGGCGTACGAAGCTACATCTATGTAGCATGGGGTGGTTTCGAGTCATCAACCCCAGCCACTCGTCACTCATCTTGCTTATATTTAGACATTGACGTGATGAGTCGTAGGTCTGGTGGCCAACGTTCATTGGTAGAGGACCAGGAAGGCACGCAGGGTCCGGCCGAGACTAACTCACGCCTCCACGACGCGTTTTATGGGGTGTTTATCACCTAGGATCGTAATAGGCCGTGGGACGTGGCTTCTGGCTACTCGCAATGGAGGCGGATGATATCTAGGCATACCTCATGACCCACCTGGGTTGCGATGCTATCCCCTCTACTGGTGCCCGAGGAAACCGGGGGAAGTGAAAAGCAGCGACTACGCGCTTGGCCAGCGGTAACACTTGGTGACATGTTGGGTACCTGAGGCTACACGTCTCCCACGGGGGTGATCCCTATTGCTAGCATCACAAGGTCGACCGTTTCATCATGGCCTGGAACGTAGATGCGAAGCGCCCAGCCTACTACCCAGGCTGAATGGATCCCCAAGCCTAAACGCGACGGATGAGCATGTGAGGGAAAGTACCGCGGCCCTTTCTGGCATGGTCGTCGAAGACGAGAGTCGCCATCGTCTCAACGACCTGACGCAAACGGATAATCGCCTAATCCCTCCGTATCGGAACCGCGTATACGACATCATACAGACACGCCTCGTCTGTTGTATTCCTCAGCGTAGTATTCCGGCTTGTCTCTCTGGCTCGAGGATCTAGGAGCGTCTCGCTCGGCGGTATTCAAAAAAAGGCATTGCCAGCGACACCAAATGGCGAAACATGCCGAAAATATCGGTTCTCGACGCGACAATTGCCACATATGCCGCCGAGGACTTGCCGGGGGGAAATGGCCCGCGTAGCCGTGGCGGGATTTCGCAATGATTCCTCATGGAGAATCAGCCTGCTTTTCGGGCTCAAACGGTTGGGAGCGGCGCCGCGTGGAAGAGTGTCGGCCGTGCATCGCGTCGCTGGGAACAATGTCGTCGAGTCGCTGCCGATTCGTGGCATGCCGGCTTCGAGAAATATGTAGAGCAAGTTCGCTTGATTGATCGCGTGTTTCGCAGACGCGGCATCGCGATCGTCTCAGGCTTGATTCAGGAGTCGAGATCCGACAACGGATGGAAGGAGGTAGGGCGTCGACGACTCAATCCGGGGATAGGAATAGAAATAGTAGGGGAGTTAAAAGAGAAGATGAGGTCAAAGAAAGGCAGAGAGTGAAGGGGGGTGCGACAGAAGAAAAAAGAAAAAAAAAAGAATAAAAAGGGAACGAGGAAAAAAAAAAATAAATCTGATAAGAGTGAGATTCGAACTCACGCCCAGTTTCCTGGACCAGGAATTTACTTGTTAAGGTAACCTTAACCTGGCGCCTTAGACCGCTCGGCCATCTTACCATGTTGATTGGTTGTTTGGTAGTTCTAGTCCTGCACCTATGTACCTAACCTGCGCATAACAATGGCGGGGTTGTCACTTGTCAAGTACGCCCTTTTGTTCTTTTGGGACGCAGTTGTACCTTTTTATCCCTTGGCTTTGATGTCGACAGCTGCGACCACCGGAAACAAACAAGGAGAGGTCTTCGTCTCTCAGATGCAAGCGGAGTGGCCGGGTCTGGGTCTTGGGATGGTGGATTGATGTGAGCGAGACCATGGTGCTGTATTGCTCATGAACAGAAAGTCTTGACAGCCCCAAGCTTTCCCCTGTTCACAAGTGTAGTTGTGAGAGGAGGAGTCCAATCCGTCAACCAGTCCTTGCTCCGTGTAGTAGATAACACGCTTCCTGGATCTCTGCCTCTAGGGTCTAATATTGATCCATCACAGCCTTCAAGATATGGATGTGCTCATCTGAAGATGGTGGACAATGGTTCTGAACCAGTTGGGGCATGGCTGGCTTCGACTCTCTGGGAAACGCTGAAAACACTGATGATCTTGATCCATGTAACTCTCGTACGCCATGACCATCCCACCATCCCACCATTCATCATCCATCAATCCTCTATAATGCCTTCAACATGACATAATCCGTCTGCGCATCGCTCCCCAGATAAAACGTATGCTCTCCCACCCTCTTATATCCCCACTTCTCATACGCCCTCTTTGCAACATGATTCTCCTCCCAAACCCCCAACCACAAATGCCTAAACCCGCCCTCCCTCGCCAAATCCTCCACTGCCCTCTCAAGCAACCCGCCGATCCCCATCCCTAGTGCCGAAGCATCAACATAGAGCCTCTGCAGCTCAGCCTTGTCCGGCACATCGTCGACGCAAGGTTCGCTCGTGCCCTTCGTCAGCGTCGCGTAGCCTTTGACTCTGCCCTCCGCGTCGACAGCTACGAGGGTTTCCCGAGAGGAGTGTTGTAGGTGCGCGGTGACGCCTTCGACGGAGTAATTCTCATCGATGTAATTTTGTACATCGGCTTCGGGGGCCGAGTGGCCAAAGGTTTTGCGGAAGACTTCTGCGCCCAAGGACGCTATTTCCGGTGCGTCGGATAGTGTCGCTTTGCGGACGGTGTGGGTTTGCTTTGACATTGGTGCTGATGGGGTGTGGGATTGGGCCTGGGTTTGCGGATGGTGGCGGGAGAACTGGTCGGCGGAGGTTTGTTTCTTTTTTTTTTTTGCTTTGGATGACGGCGCGAGTCTTTGAGTTATCAGGGGACTTTGAGGATAGCGCTGTGAGTTGGAGCTTGCTTTTCTATTGCGGTGCCAGGCATGCGGGTGTGTGTGTGTGTGTGTGTGTGTGTGTGTGTGTGTGAGAGAGAGAGAGAGCGAGTGCGTGTGAGAGTTGAGACCGCAATTTTTCATGTGCCTACGCCGGACATCGGAGGTCGGCTCAGAACCCTCGACCTGCGGCTCACCACCGCTCGCTACCGGAGCTAACGGAAACAGCCGACGGACGGGGTCATGTTCATGTTACTTGGAGTATTATTCAATCACTTTTGACTTATTTCCTCGTGGCAGATGGGATTTACAGTTGACAGCTCCAATTTTTATGAGAGGATGCCAGAGTTGTGTAGCTTAAAAGCAGTTCCGATGAAGCCGAAACGACTTGTAGGTGCATGAAGACCAAGATCAAAAAGACCTCGCTCATCTCGCGGCCACCTTCCACAATCCACTCTCCACTCAGCAATTGTACAGGTTTCCGGATATCAGACGCGTCTCCATATTCTCGCCAACAAGGCAACTGATTCTCATCGGCCGAGTACTGGTATTCCTCATCTCCTCGAAGTCCAGCTTTAGATGCTTCGCGTACTTGCGAGAGATGAGGTTGACGGCCAATTGCGGGTCGAGATGTGCGCTTGCGAGGTACCAAGACGGACCGGCAAGGATGTAGCCGCTCATGTACCGTGAGCCGATCGACCTGTTCTCGGAAACCTCACTGTAAGACGCGGATATGGTTGTCTTCAGATTTACGCTGCAATCGCGTTGTTAGTGGCGGTTGCCTTTGGTGGAAGTACGCCAAGAAAAGGGGGTGAACTTTCATTTCCTGCTCATACTCCTACGGCGACCTCCTTGACCCCCCCTCTCCCTCTCAGCCAAAGCCGGCTCAAGCAAATACGTACTCAAAACAAGCCTCAAAGTCGTCTTCAATCCCTCCATCCCTAAGATCAACTCCGCCAACGACGGCCTTCATCCGCATCCACTTCCAGCTCGTGGCGAACTTGAACCTGTTCTGCAAGAACTCAATCTTACCCCCAGGCAAGTGAATAAGGAGGATATAACGTAATGTCGGCTCAGGGAAAATAACGAGCGGCAAAACTTCCCGCTCTTATAGTTGCAGCGACGGCTTCCTTTTCAAAATCCAACCTCCGGCCCATGAGCCCGATATCATGTGGGCAGTTTTCATCCACATCCCATTCTATTTCGGTCCCGGCTTTCTTAAACGTCTCAACGAAGTCACCGTTGGCGGAATGCAGAGCTTCTAGCCTTCCAGTGTTGACCCATATTGGAGCTGGGCTCTTGAAGCCATGTCCGTCCCCGGGGGATAAGTATGGGTCGTCCGGCGAGATTCTGCCGCCGCCGGTCAGTCCATGAACCCCCCACAAGGGAAAGTTCTCGGGGATGTAGTCGGTCGCATAATTTGGAGACGCTCGCATGGCACTGGCATCTGTTGATGTAGCTATGGAAGTCCAAGGGGACCAAAGCAAGACGGCAGCAGGCCATGGGATAGCCAGTTCTTCACCATGGTGGAAAATGTACCGCAACAGGGCCATGACGATGTTTCCTCCAGCCGAATCGCCTCCAACAACAATTTGTTGTGGTGAAATCTTGAGAGTATTCACGAGATGTAAATATGCAGATAAGGAGTCTTGGAGAGCAGCGGGAAATCGCCCGTGGGGGCCTGTTGCCAGTCGATACTGAGGGGTGAAAACGTGTGTAAATCGCCCATGCTTGATATAATTCTGGGCTAGAAAGCCGGTGTCGCCGTCTCGACCGTTTCCTAAGATGTAGGCTCCACCGTGGAAGTGCAAAACAACCCTCATCTCCTTCGATTCCACCGGCACAGAACAAGGCGGAGATTCGGGAGTCCAAGTGCCACCCATTGTCTCGGGCCGAATATCGACATCCTGCGTCGGTCCAATATAGAATCTTCTCGCAGCGGGGGGAATGAGGCAGAATCTGTCCCCCTCGGACTTCGGCTCAAGCGACAGCGGCTCAAAAAACCGGGTAGTCGAGATCCATCGCAGAAGGGACTTTGTCATCCGTATGCGCAGCGCTTGTTGAAGACTCCATCGTGGCCGGCTTTTCCCGCTTGAAAAGGTATGCCGGATCAAGACGAGTGTCAGATTAACACCCACGTCCAGGGAGACGAGACTGACGAAGCAGAGGAATTTGACAGTCTGCCTTAGCGACATTGCGCTCACTATAATTATGTGCTGGATCAAGAGGACAGAAGGTAGACAACGGGTTGGGGAGGCAAGATTCGATCCGGGACGCGGTTTAGCTTAAATAAAGGTAACGGGCAACGATGGACGTGTTAGAAGTATAAATATCCGCCAGCGGCTCCCCTCTACGGCCCCCTCTACATTGGTACATTCAGCTGTGACAGCGGCAAAGCTGGGACCTCGGTTATAAAAGTTACAAGACACGAAAGCAGGACATCCGGCGAAAACAGCGTTTGATATCGCCCGGTGCATTATTTAGTGATGTTCAAAGCCGCGGTCGTTAGGGTCAAGGAGGGTGCGGACTCTGGAGATAACCGTGGCTTGGCAGGGGCCTGGCCCTATTTCCATTTGGGAAAGAACTCCCCGATCATGCTTCTTTCCTTCGGTACAAACGGGCCGCGGCCAATACAAGAGTGAGACACCGTGAGAGCGTCCTCGTCCGACATTCGAGTGGATCTCTACGCCCTCTCTTCTCTACTCTACAGGCAGGGCTTCCAAGGGTAAAACTTGATGTCACTGATTCGAACCGAGAGGACTAGAGACTATTAGGCGAGCATCGTTTTCTTCTTTCTCCATCAATGGGCCCCCCAGGTAATCATATCACACATAGGGGCTGCATTCCAGGGTTGGTTGCACGAAGAAAGTAAATTTATGGAGAGGACATGCTCCGCTTTAGCCGCGACAAGCTGGAGATGTATTAAATGCTCAACAAAAAGAAAAAAAAAATAAGGAGAAAACAAAATTACACGGCACCGAATTTAAGTCCGCAGCTCTTCTTGAAGTGCTTCTAACTTAGCTCAACACGAGCCCCCGCGATATATCGCCCCAGCTCGCCTTCCACATATCGACAAAATAATTCTTCTTCTGGGCCCACTGGCCAACACCAGCCTTGGGAAAGATCTTGCTCGAGTTCTGAAAGTACGTCGACGAGAGATCGAAAAGTGGAACCTGCGGAATTCTCTCACCGGGTTCCAGCTTTGGAAGTGCTACCTTTGCGCCTGCTGCTTTCATACGGCGCAAAACCCGAGCAAGAAGCACGCCTGTCGCCTCGGCAGCGAGAGTCCATGAGGCATTAACGTACCCGATAACAAAGATCAAGTTCGGCACATCCTGAACCATGCAGCCCTTCCATGAGAACTTGGTCGATGGGTCAATGATGTTTCCATCAACGGAGATCTGAATCCCTCCGGCGAACTGAAGCTTTAGCCCCGTCGCCTGGACAATGACGTCTGGCTGCAGCCTCTGGCCAGACTTCAGCATGATTTCCGTTTCGGTCACTTGCTCAATCACATCAGTAACTACGCTAGCCTTTGTTGACCGCAGGGCTGCGTAGAAGTCGCCATTGGGGCAAACACAGAGCCGTTGGTCCCAGGGGTTGTATCGCGGGCGAAAATGCGGGTTTATCGGAATATTGGGTGGTAGTTGCTCTGCGCTCGCCTTCTCCAGAGCGTCCCGGACCTTTTGAGGCCTTTTCCTAGAGTAGTAATACACCATATAGGCCATGAGAATGTGCTGGAGCCGATTCAAACGGGTACCAATGAAACTTGGCAGCAACGCTTGGATGATCTTGCTAAGGAATCCCTTAGACATGGGAAGGGACGCAATGTATGTCGGGCTCCTTTGAAGCATGGTGACGTGCTTAGCATCTTCTGCCAGATTCGGCAGCAGTGTGACTGCCGTCGCCCCGCTCCCGATAATGACGATGTTCTTGTTGAGGTAATTATAGTTACTGGGCCAGAATTGGGGGTGGATGACGTCGCCTTTGAACCGGTCCAGGCCAGGGATGGGCGCATACATGGGTTCTCGGAAATCATAGTAGCCAGTTCCGAGGACCACAAAGCGACCGTGGAAGACGGCAAGCTCGTTGTTGCCATCTCTACTGGTGACGGTCCATCTTGAGTCGGTAGAGGACCAGTCAGCTGAGATAACGTTGTGGCGAAACCGCATATGCTTGTCCGCGCCGACTTTTGCAGCCGAGTCTTTGAGATAGGCGACAATTTCCGGTCCTGTAGCGAGAGGCTTCCCTTTCTTCCAGGGGTTCCAGGAGAAGCCAAAAGTGAACATATCCGAGTCGGATCTAATCCCCGGATACCTGAAGAGGTCCCAAGTGCCTCCTATTTGGCTCCGTTTGTCAAGGATAACGTAGGATGTTCCCCGTGGCGCTCCGGTCTTGATGTACCGGGCTGCATTGATGCCAGATACACCAGCGCCGATAATAACGACGTCGACGGATTCTTCATGTTGAGGCTTGGCCGCGGACTCCTCGGAGCCTGTCATCGTGATGGGCGACTCCATTCTGTCGTGAACAAGCGATAGATACAAAAATGTAAGGGGTTTTCTTGAAGAGGGCAGTTGTTGTAGTGGCACTCGGTCACTGAGCTCTCTTGGGCGATATGCCTGGTGGAATCAAGGCTAATATATCTGCTAAGTCCTCTCTCCTCCAAACCCGAAGCCGAGGATTTAGAAATTATCATGAAAGGGGGAACAAGCAGGTGCCACTCTTCATCAGGCCATAACGGCTGATCCCTTCCCCGGACTTTCTCATCGCCCATTCATGGACTGGACCGGAGGCATGTAGTGTAGAATGGTGGGCCCGAGGCCAAAAGCGCCCCACGCCGAAATAGGAACTAAGTTGCCGGACAGTGTTTTAGTGCCTTGTTCCAACCCCAGAAAACTCTAGTCCAAAAATGGAACAATGTCGCCGACGCCGCCTCTAAAGGAATATTCCTGCACCAAAAAGAAAAAAAAAATATACCCCAACGGACCAAGTATTCCAAACTCAGAACGCGACATGAAAGTTGCTGCGGATATTTTTCGGTGGAATTTTGGAGCGGAGTCCTGGAGCAGTGCGTGGTCAATGTCTTTCGGCCGCGGTTCTACTCCTTCGGCTCCATTGAACGGAGTGAAAAAAGTAATGCTTGACTTTCCTGTCTATATATAAAGAGGTCCTAGGTCATTGGCAATGACCAAAACAGCGTATCCTACAAGCTCGTTCGTTTGCAAAATCGTTCTATACCTATACCTTGAATACATTCTCCCTCGGGTTTCTTGTCTGTCAATGACTACGGCCTCCGTCCTTGAAGGAACCGTCAGAGCCACTCAATTTGTCGGTAACATCGCCTTGAGCCCAGCTCTTACAGCATCTGCACTTGTACTGCTCGCCTTCGCCCCCCCGCACATAGTTTCTCGAGTCACCGGATTCAAGTTCATCCAGAAATATGTGGGAATCTCTGGCCTCAAGATAGCACTTCGAGTTCTTCTCGGGCTCGGACTCGTGCGAGCTTTGAACAGATTGCAGAACATTCGCGCCAGCAATAACTGGAGGCTTTTGGGTCATGGCGGATGGAACTGGACCGAGGAGATTGCTGTCGTCACAGGTGGTTGCAATGGAATTGGCAAGGCCACCGTTCTCGGGCTTGTCCGGAAGGGCGTCAGAGTTGCCATCCTTGACGTGGCAGATCTACCGGCGGACCTCGCGCGGTTGGATACGGTCTTCTACTGGAAATGCGATATCACATCACCACATGCCGTCAATGAAGCGGCCGACAAAATTCGAGAGAACCTTGGTCATCCATCCATACTTATCAACAACGCCGGCATCACCAACAAGTCCACCATTCTCGACTCGGCGCCAGAGAAAGTAGCAAAGGTTTTTGGCGTTAATATTCTTTCGCACTGGTACACTGTCAAAGCGTTCCTACCGACAATGATCCTCCGGAATAAGGGACACATCGTCACCGTCGCCAGCGTGGCGTCATTCGTCGCTTTGCCCACCGAAGTCGAGTATTCCGCGTCAAAATCGGCGGCATTAACTTTTCACGAGGGGCTCTCCTGCGAAGTCAAGAACGTTTACAAAGCACCAGGCGTGATGACGACTGTGGTTCATCCCATGTTTGTAAATACCCAAATGACGCAGACGGTGAAAACGAGGATAGAGACCTCATGGGGAAAAATGTTGGAGCCTGAGGACATATCTGGCGCTATCTTGAAGCAAATATTCTCTTGTCGAGGTGCTCAGCTCATTGTCCCGCCACGGATGTCGTGGATATCTGGCATTCAAGGATTCCCGAATTGGCTACAGGAAACCATCCGGGACACCGTTGTTGGACGAGCTTGACGATGATAGGGAGCCTTTACTGTACCTAATCCCCCCAAATATTAAAAATATCTAAATACATGTCACATTTTCACACACCAAAGACCTTTTAACGCTCGCCCTTCGTTGTTGGTCAAGTCTAGACTTGCCCACGCCAACTTTATTCTTTTTTTTTTTTTTTTTTTTTTCAGCTGAAGGAAGGGTCTTTATCACGTGACATATGTGCATGACATTCCTCAGACAGAGTTATTTAGAGTAGGTACCAATACCTAAATCGCTTGATTTTTATGTATTGGATCACTTGTAACTCTACTTTATCATGGTTGGATCGGACCCGGGTCAAATCCGCTTCGGAGATCCATCAATTGATCCCACTTCCCCGGAGAGATAAAGTGAGCCGGTTCCGTAGCGTGTCTCTTCCCCGCATTACGAAGTATATGTACCCCATACCCCATAAAACCTGTGCTCTTCTTACCTGCACTCGCTGCGCCTCATGACTCCTTAAACCACCCCATATATCCCGAATTCCCACGGGACCTAGCCGCAATGCCTTCGGTAGCGGCTTGTGACAGATGCCATCGAAGAAAAGAACGTTGCGTCTTCGATGCTGGCAACGGCCGCTGCCACCAATGCAGACTTCAGCAGAAGAACTGTTCGTTCAGCCGACGCGGCCAGCGCATGGGCCGCCCGCCGAGAATGAGAAAGCTTCCTTACGGGTCTTGCGAAATCATCAACTTTGATGATGACAGTGGGGAAGATCCCAAGCAAACGACCAATTCTCCAGCGTCATCGGATTTGAGCTGTCCTTCTCCCTCCTACGACACCGAGAGCGAGAGCCTCGAATCCACGGACCTCGATCCTTGTAGACCCGTCGCATACTCGTCAGGTTTACCCTATTCTTCTTTAGCCGATCTATTCAGCTTTATCGAGGCCATCTACGACCTCCCCATTGCCCTACCACACAACCTAGACCGCTCATCATCGGCCAGCCCCCACAATCCTGTTCACGACATTTTATCAAATCCAGAGCTATTTTACAAGTTTCACAGCGACTTTGTGATTGGACCCACCTTCTCCGACCCTTTCCGCCAAGCCATCATGATCGTACTTAACCGCTCAGAGGGCGTCGTCTTAGACGCATACTCAACAGTCACGTCTCTGTGGGATGCGGGGAACAACAAAATCAAAGCCTTTGACGAGATGGATTTGGGCCAAGGTTCTCGATGCCTCAAGAAGTTGCAAACCCCAACTATTGCCCATCCCGAAGACGCTGCCGCTGTTATAATGCTGGGACAGATCTTGGTAGTTTATCATATCGCTGTCCTGGGCACGTCTTCGCACGCAATCGTGAGACGATCATTACTCCTAGCGAAAGATTGGTATCCGTGGTTGCTCAACGAATCCGCCCTACACCCCATTACAATTACACCCATTCTTGTCGACACGGTGGAGTCTCTCGTCAAGAGAGAGATCCCTGTTGTGCGAGCCCCACCTGACCCCGACTGCTCTATTGTCGACAGGTCAGCAGGGCTCTGCGTCGGCCTCTTACATCTCCAATACGAAGTGTGCAGAATCGGCCACCTAGCCAAGACTTCGACGGTTGCCGCAGAAAGCGGCGCCGTGGAACCCACCTCTACCAACCGCTATGTCGGCATGTACGGAGAAGAGCTGGAAGCCGTCAGGACGCAGGTCCTCAACTGGGAGCCCAGGCCCCCGAAAACCTTCTTTACAAGGTACACCCAACATGAGGTGTCAGCCATGATGATGCAAGCGCGGGTCTATCGCCTAGCGACCTTGCTGATCATCCATCGCCTTCGGTATCCTCTTGGGGTCGAGGATGAGCCTGCCGAGCGATTGGCCATGGCTATTGCTGCTGAGCTGGAATGTTTTGTGCAATGGGTTCCTGATGATATGAAAGGAGTATCGATCGGGTTTCCGCTGCTGGTCGCCATGTTAGAAATAGATCATATCAGCGAAGACGCCATCCGCTACGTGTCGCCACTCACCGCGCAGCCGACGTACGTCGAACAACTGAGGGCTTTTGTCCGACTAACCAGAGCAGCGCGGGACATGGGGTTTTGTGGTTTGTGGTTTTGCTTAGTAGAGAAGGGGCTTTCGATACCTGTGTTAGCTTAGTTCTGCCCGATCTATGTATGCCGCAGTTGGTGGAAAGCCGATGTGAGTTGGGTGGTGTACGATTACAGAAGTTGTAAGACACACCATCATGCATCTGTTTGATCGAAGGAAAAATGCGTTTGGTGTAGTGGTACTTATTGACCTGGCTACGGATAAGTCGGTAAAAATAATAAATTCTAATAATGCTGTAGACCAGCTCTTGATGATACTTTCTTATCCATCCTCTATACCGCCGAACACGATCAGCAGGGGTAAAATCATCTTGGTAGTGCTAAGGAAGCATTCCTTTAGACGGAGGACATATTTCAAGCCACAGGGGAACGGAACATGCTATTCTATCGGACAGAGGAGCAAGGCACACACTCAGTTCACTGCGGCTTTACAAAATGCACGAGATTCAGGGTCACTGGACCGATACGTTCATCGTTGGGTGAAACCCATTAAGCACGAGGGCCGGACCAACGCGACGGAAAATGGGCTTTGACCAAGTGCTTCCTAAGATTTTTGCGTGCGCGTAACTGGTCGGGAATTGACCCCAGCATATACGCTGCTGTTATGTACAATGCTGGTGTACGCCTGTTGCAGGAGACTTCTTGCTCAATTTGGAGCCAGCTGACGCGGAGTGTGTGGGGAGCGGAAGGGCGAGCCACTGTCGCCATCCGAAACATCTCATTGCACAATGTCACATCGTCGACGGAATAGGAAAGAAGTTCGATTTACTTCCCGGCCATGTCTATCTTTCCCACATTTTAGATCCGTCTTACCCCGCGATTCATGGATCCCGCCACATGGGATATTGGGCTAAGTTGTGCACTAGTCCGTCTGCAGGCCGCTCTCAATACGGGTCTATGCACATCCCGGGGATGATCACTGCTATCAGCTGCTAGAACTCATGAAGGGAAGCCAACAGAACCTCGGCTTAAGTAGAACTTGAGCGATGAACTTGAGCAATGTATACCGAGAAATTCCATATGCGACGATGGCTCACTCTTTAGACAGATGCTAATAGAAAGCTCGATGGATCGACCGTGGGCCGCGTCACATGGGATTGATTTACTACAAACCTTCATCATCGGGATGTGTATGCCGCAGTTGAACTCTCCGGTATCGACATCGTCATATGATCTATCTAAGAACAGACCAGAATTCCAGCAAGGGATCTCTTGTCGGGGCCAGAACCTAGCCTGTTGAAAGCGTATTCTAATTCATTACGTGTCCATACTAAATGACATTGCCGGGTGAGATACATCTAAATACCTATTAATCTACAAATGTTTTCTTTCCAGCAGCGTCTACTAAGAGGTCTTGGAACCAATTGGGATACCCTCGAAGCCCTGATATCCAAGACAGAGAGTTAGGAACAACAAGTTGTCCTCCACGGCAACTCCAAATATGTTTCAATACTTCTTTCGCCACATCATCTGGCTGCATTAACGGCCCTTGGGCTCGCTTAATCTTGTCGGCGTGCTCAGAAGTCATGCCCGTCATGGTCCAGTAAGGGTGCACGACAGTCGTAATAATGCCAGGCGCCCGGAGGCCATGCTTGATCTCGGCCGATAAGCCTTCGTGGAAAGCCAGGGCTCCGGCCTTGCTCGCTGCGTAGTCCACAATTGTGGGGGCCGTGGAGAAGGATGCTATACTGGCCACGGTGACGATGTGTCCTTTGTTCCTGAGGACCATGGAAGGCAGGAATTCTTTTGCTGTGAACCAAAGGGCGAAGGTGTTGACCCCAAATATCTTCAGCAAGTAGTCTTCTGTAGTTTCAAGAATTCCATGGGGTTTCGCGATTCCGGCATTGTTGACAACGATTGACGGGTGGCCGATGCTTCGGCGAATTTCGTCAGCGACATCCTTGACGGCAGAACTAGAAGCGAGATCACACTTCCAGTATGAGATTTGGTCGATTTTCGCCAAGTCGGCCGGTAGTGATTGAACGTCGAGGATAACGACATGAACACCCTTCCGGGCGAGCCCGAGGGCGATGCACTTTCCGATGCCGCCGCAGCTACCCGTAACAACGGCGATCTCCCTGGACCATTCCCAACCAGGTTGTCGAGTAAGCCTCCAGTTGTTGCGTGCCCGGCGATTGGCTACGCGATTCATCAATCTGATAAGTCCAATGGCAGCAAATACTTTCAATGATGTCTTCAGGGTTTGCTCTCCGACGTAGCGCTGCAGGAGGGGATGATTGAGAACGGTCCTCACCAGATTCGGCGGTCCGTATGCAAGGAAGGCAAGGGCGGATGCAGGCAAGAGTGGCTGCTGGGCCATGAGGTCAATTACCTTGAAAGGAGAGAAGAGAAGGGCAGCCATTGTTGAGATGCGCAAGAAGAACGGTGGCGTAGCGAGTAAGAAGGGAGAGTTAGAGACTCGGACGTCCATGAAGATCGACATGCCAGTGCTGAGTATGGAGGCTGTCTCAAAGCAAGTTTTTATTCCTTTTAAATAGTTGTCTACTCCGCCACCGCGACGGAATGATATTCTGTCGCTCAACTTCTTAGCCTCGGCCCGCCTACATCCTTGCTCGGAGACTTGAAGACAGGGGAGGCCGGCCCGGCTAGAAGCAGGTAGGTCCGTGGGGTCCGGCGACTTTCTTCCCAATCTAGTTTAGAGGATTGTCACCCCCGCGGCTAGTCAATTCCCCGCCGCGGACCTGATTTGTTCACATGACCCCCAGGACCATGCCACCCGAGTGAAATCCTCCGGGGGATCCTGCCGTCGATCCTTAGTCTACGAGCATGACAGGAGTGAGTTTGGTATTCCATAAAATCTCGGAAGTTGGCGCCCGAGTTTTCGCGTGACGGTTGTAGGTGGGAGTTTTGAGCAGGAGGACATGAAGGCCGTGACAAATGTTTTGAGCATGGTGATGCCTAGAGGTATCAGCCGCTCAATTCTCATAGTATTTTACATGGCAATATCGACTGCGGGAATTGACAGTAGTGACAAGGGTTTGAACCATGGTTTGGGGTAGTGGTGAATCTGCGGTTTGGGACATTTGCGGCTCGGAGATGGGTTCTTTATACTATGCCGAAGGACTGAAAATACCTACATTTCTCACGCCGTTACAAGTAGAATAAGGCGTTATTCATATATTCGGCTATACAGACGACCGGCGCCCGCCTCGCCGCCCCCAGCCCTTCATACTGGCCGAACGGTGCATTGTTACTCCAAGGTTAGGAATTCTTATCGGTGCATACAAAACAAGGGATCTTATTCAATCTTGGTATTAAGTGCACATGGTTTATTAAAACCACTCTAGATCTCCGCTCTGGTCTATTCTCAAAGTTTTGCAGAGAGTGGTTGCTTCTGCCCCAACTGGGTTTCGAAACGCTTGACGACATCATATGAGTACAGATATTCTTGAAACAAGGTATTTGCCATCAAATTCAGGCTTTCGGAATAATCTCCAGCCTGGAACATCTCGTCCCTCATATCATACTGTGGCCGGTTTCGAAGGTGAATGAAAAACCGATTTGTCCACGAACCCCGCTGGATGGTATGGGCTCGTTTGTGGCGAATCTCGTAGAAGAGGTCTGGGGCCTTGGGGAGTTCGGAGACATCACGGACCTTGGAGAGGACGAACCCAAGTCCGGAGGCATCTTCGATTGCCATGGCCGCGCCCTGAGCCGGATAAGGCAGAGTCGCGTGAGCCGCATCTCCGATAACGACCATACGGTGCGACGGGTAAACCCGGTTGGGCACTGGGGGGAGGTCAATCAGCCTCCACCGTTCGATATTTTCAGGCAACAGTTTCAGCAACCTCTGGATCCTATGGCAACGATTAGTTTTCTTGCCCCATTTCTCTCGAAAGACTAGATGTGCTCTTACATCGGGTTCCATCCAGCCTCTACTTTCCGTACTTCGTCCGCAGTAGAGGGAGATTTATATATCCCGCCATCCTCATCCTGCGGAATCACAAGTATTAACAAGTTATACGTCTTCTCCTTCTGAATATTGTACCTCCAACGATGTTAGCAAAAACGGATGCAGTGAAGGAAGAAAGGGGAGTTATTGTCTCCTCCGTACCCGATGATATGGTGGTCAGGACCAAGCCATTGTTCCGACCCAGGAGTCAGCACTAGGTCTTTGAGATCCGGGTCCGCAGTTAACACGGACCCTGGAATTACCGTTCGAAAAGATGTGTCGCGGGTCTCGTGCGGCTCAATGGCAGTGCCCAGGCCTGCCATTCCAGCGCCTGCTATGACAATTTGAAGTTGAGCCATTTGACTGTGGTTGGGCTAATCCTTTTTTTCTCCTCAACGCTGGAAGTATGAGTAGGGATATAGATGCACCTCTGAAGACCTTGGGTAATGCCTGTATCATCGAATACGTGTATTTTCTCTTCCTCATGGTAGATAGTATCTATTGCTAACAGCTCAGAGTCTCATGGAGGATGCTAGCTCTATGTAGCTCGGGTAGTTTTTGATGAAGCCTTATGACTTGAACAGCAATTGGGTCTTATGTTTAAAAACACTGCCCTGGGACCGCCCTGTTTAGCAGCATCCTTTTAAGATGCATAATTCCTCTAGGCAGAGCCAATCCTCTATTCAGCCGAGTATTCCTCGCCACTAACAGTCAACTTAATGTTTTGACAGACCCAGATCTGATTTCCGCTGGCAAATATCTCAACCATCCCCTCGGCAGTAGAAAAGCCCACCTGAATTGGGAATGACCTGTACGGGTTTCCTTTGATGAACCCGGTACTGACGCCACCGACGGTGACGTTGACGAACATCTGCTCATCGGCTGAGCTGTAGGTAGCCTTCGATCTGAAATGAAGATGGTCTTATGAGCAATCAAGTCGTACTAGTAGGATAGATATTTTTAGAGACATACTTCGGTAGGTCCGGAGGACCACTTCAGAGCGGTCCTCCCGACGACATAATACGAAGGGGTCCTGGGCTTCTCTTGCGTGGCAACCCAGAGGCCGCCGTTCTCCTCTGGCTCTTTCACACTGACGATGGCGCCTGGCATTCATTCGCATTAGTTAGTCTTTCGTGGCCATGCATGTTCTCTTTCTTTCCCCCGGCCTAGTTTGCTTATGGATGAAACTATACCTTTTGACTTATCCTCAGCCGTGGCGTTTCTGAGACCTGACGAAAAACAATATCACGATCAAGGTTGGGCAAGCTAGATTAAGAACTTCGAGATGCTAAGTAGGAAAGAAGGTGCGCAGTCGAGTGGCAGATGCGCGTGTGAGATGAACAGACTAAAAGGAATCGGGGAGGTCTCTCTATCTATCTCTTTTTCGATCTTTGTGGCTAAGCCATAGCCACCGCCGATTATCCTCCTATTTTCCTCCATTTCCTTCCTGCAGAAGGCTGAATCCTGGGCTGGCACCAGTATTGCGACCAGCACTGAGACGTAGGGACGTGGCTCGCTCTAATGCGGTCCGACCCGCTAACCCAAGCACCTGCATTTGGGAGGGAGGGAATGTGGAATGCTAGGCGATCTCATTCGCCGAGATCGTGTCTCCTCTATTTATCCCCGAAGGTGGCACCCCGGTATCCTGGAAGGAGGAGCTACATGTACTATTGCGATGAGTGGACGAAGTGAAGCTGACTAGTCACCCTCAATGCAAGGAAGGAGAAAGTGCTCTGTTGGAGGGGCGGGGGAACCTGGGAGGGGTGATCTGCTGGCCTCTGCCTCTTGACTGTGCTTGCCCCAGGAGCTTTGTTTGTCTCCGGAAGCGGCCATGGCATTAGACTGATAAGACGAAGAATGTTGAGGGGCTTTAAAAAAATCAAAATTAATCTTCTGGGAGCTGTGAATGTAGACTTCTTTTTTTTTTTTCTGAATAGAGATAAATCTTGCGCGAGAGAGAGAGAGAGAGAGGATGAGAATTTGGCATGATCAATGAACATCCAGAGGAGCCTTCACTCTCTTCATAGATCCACTCGCTGGGCTACAATTGGTAGTCTTTGCGGCTCTCCAGCTATTATTTCTGCACGAATGCGTTGCAGGGAAGTCATCCGAGCAACCGCGGTTTGTAAGTTTGCGCAGATTTCGTTGTCTCATTAATAGCGGCCAGCTGAAGATCGGCGGGAGGTCATGGCTAGCTGGAAGGAGACCGCCGAATATAAATGATTCGGGCCTCTTGGAGTTTCCCCTTCATCGCTGGCTGTCAGGACTTGGCCTCTTTCATTTACCACCTTTTTATCCTCCTCCCTTTTGTCCGTCCTCGTGTGCTAGTGCTCCTCCCCTTCTCTCTATGGCACTCGTTCAACTTTATACCTGTCTGATGGAGTGTGGGCCATTTAATAGGAGACATGCACACCGGTTTGGCTAAGAAGCCGAGAGACGACCTCTTTTCTGCCTATGAATATCAGCCTTCCTAGAGGTGCGGTGCTCGGAAACGCGAGACGGAACACAAGACTCCCCTCGGGTAATGATAAACTTCTTCATACAGACAACCTAGGCCAGGGGCCTGCTATCATCTTGCAAACTAAGATCGTCTATCTCTCCAACTCTACATCCCAGCTGTAGTCGATGTTCCTTTAGACCCTTCTACCGCCTAGTTCCCAGATCCCTTAACAGTCTTCAATTCCTCAGCTAATAGGTTTACATATACACTCCTCATGGTGGTAAGTATAACAAGAAGCCAAGTTCGAAACGCCTCCGTCTGGGGTAGGCTCTAACACTATTGCGGCAGATACTGAACCAATGTGGAAAGTCGAGCTATTCTTCGGCTTTTCCGTCCAGTAGTTATTGCCTAGATGATTTTCGGCCACAAGACGTGGCCACACCCTCTTCGTGCCTCCGCGGATAAGGATGTTGCTTCGGCAATTATCCCTTCTCTGCCTGCTTCTCTGCCTGGCAACAATTTTGGACCTGGATGAATGGCAAGACCCCCCCGCCGCCCTCTAAGATCAACCGGTCTGCCCATTCCTCCCTGCTGGAAGCTACGGCCACGTGGAGCAACTTCTTTGAGGGATCACATTGATGACCAGGCCCTTGTCAAGGATGAGACGAAAAACCTCTGCGGGTTCCTGGGCCGTCGACTCGTCAGATAGAGTTCGCCTTTGATGGTTCCGGGCTGGAAGGGTGGGCCTTGGCATTGGCGCTGATGAGGAGGTCTGGGTTTGGCTCCGCAGGTAGTTTGACTCAAGAACGACACGCCGTGAGTCAAAAGCCCTGATATTTCTGTTCTACGGAAAGCCAGGTTCGTTGTGATGCCCGGATTAGGAAAGACTGATTCCTCAAAGACAGACCGTGGTGAGCGTGTTGGAACGAGTTGATTAATAAGATTTCGGGTTCCTGAATTCAAAGCGGCAAAGAAACGTGGAAGGTGGAGGGGATCAATGACTCCTCTGACAATATCTCCATGGTGATTGGCTGCGTGCCTTTACAATGACACACAAATAGCGAGAGAAACATCGGATCATCAATCGGATTGCGACAAAGCTCTATCCACTTTCAAGCTAGCACTTTAGATTCCCTTTTAGTCAACCCCACTATTGGCTGGTGCATTTCCGCGGGGGAGAGAAAGCAACCCTCGAGGTCAACCTCCCTCGTTCTATTCTGCTGGGAACTACGAGTATATATCTCGACGGGATCACCTAGGACAGAAGCAACAAGAGAGTTCTAAGCACCAAGCTGAATACGCATTTTCCCAACTGTGAGCCCGCCTCGCAAGCCAATTCCCAGTTTTCTTCTCCTTCCCCTCTCCGCCCCTGGCATCACAGCACCCACAATGTATATCCCACCAGTCCACGCCGAGCGACGGATCCCCGTGCTCCAACAGCTCATCCGCGATAACCCCCTCGGCGTCATCACCACGGCCATTTCCTCGCCAAACTTCCCCCTCTTGCAGTCCAGCCACATCCCCTGGGTTCTCGACGTTGACGGAGATGCCGCCGACGCCAGCGAACCCCACCTCGGCCGCCTCCGCGGCCACATGGCTCGCCAAAACCCCCAAAGCAAGGCCATGATCGAGCACCTGACGCCTTCGGAGTCCCGACCGAACCCGGGCAACGTTGTCGAGACGGACGTGCTCGTCTTGTTCACCGCGGGACCGCATCACTACGTCACGCCCAAGTTTTACGTGGAGACGAAACCATCGACCGGCAAGGTTGTGCCGACGTGGAACTACGCGGCCGTGCAGGTCTACGGCAGGGCAAAGGTGTATTTCGACTCCAAGTCCGAGGAGACCTCTGCGTACATGCAGAAGCAGATTGGGGATCTCTCTCAAACCATGGAGACCGGTATCATGGGGTTCACGGGCGAGGATGGACGTCCGGGGCCCTGGAAGGTGTCGGATTCTCCGGACAAGTACATCGAGCTGTTGAAGAAGAACATTATCGGCATCGAGATTGAGATTACGAAGCTGGAGGGCAAGTTTAAGATGAGCCAGGAGATGAGGAAGGGGGACCGTGACGGCGTCGTTGCGGGCTTCAAGGCGTTGGAGTCGGAAACTGCCAAGGCCGTGTCGTCGTTGGTGCAGGAGCGCGGTGAGCTCAAGGATGCTCAGAAGAATGTAGATTGAGAGAGGGGGGTAAGGATATCCTGCTGAGAGGCACGCTCTTGTCCTACTTGTGCTTGTCTGAAGATCGATCTTGGGCTCGAACATATATAAATAGACTGTCTCATCACCCGTCTGCACCTTTTAGCAGTTTTTGTTTGTTAGTAATTTCTCCAGTCACCTAACTTTCCGAATCTATCTAGCATACCCTCTCTCCTCTCCTTTGCTCTGATGATCGAGATTGAGCGCTTATTTATTCATATATGCGGATAAATGAATAGACCCTGGAGACCCTCGTTCCCTTGCCATTCTCAGGTGGAGGGTGTGATCCTTCATGCAGTGCATGACAATGTTTTGTCCCATCCACACAAGTGGGCGACGTTATGAAGTCCAATTAGCAGTTCCTTTATCTTACGTTCCTGTAGAGGCACGATTCGCACTCTGAACCACAAGATTCCACTCTTTAGCCATATCACTATTCTAATATACATTTCTAAAGGGACTAGCCTCTACTTTCTATAATAAAGACTACTATTTTAATAAAGCTATATATATTTTTTATTAAAGATATAAGACATTTTATAATTTAATTCTTTACTTTTTAAAATTAGCTACTTAAATTATAATTATTATAATACTACGAAATAATAATAGATAAGTTAAGTATCTTAAATACTTAGCCTCTTTTTAATTAATTATTAAAAAATTATTACTTTTTCTTAAAATAAAACTTTTAAAATATATCTCTATACGAAGTAGAACTATATATATTAGAGTAGATTATCTATTTTCCGCGCGGGATTAGTGCATGGGGCCCAATTTGGCCAGAATAACTACCCTACAAGCTTTTATCCTATTTACTATTAGTAGCCACAGCCTTCTTATCAGCAGCCAACATCTTCTATATAGCAGGCCAATTCATAACACGGTCCTACTAAGCACTTATATATTTATAACTAATAATAATATCTCTATACTTATATTTAAAAAGTCTTTAGATTAGTAGAATATAGTAGATATCTATAAGTATAAAGTTATTTCTAGCTATATAATTCTTATATTATAAGAGATATTCTACAATATTAAAAAATACCTCTACTAACTATAGTATATCTGAAATAATAGTTTTATTTAGAGACAGCCTCATGAATTTTTTAACAAATTTCTCAAATGCAATTTAACCTATAAGCTCTACAAAATAGAGTATTTCTTCAAACTATACTTAATTAAATAGTACTATAGCTTTAATATTAGAGTTAGGAGGTAGAAGTAGAAAGAAATACTTTCTTATAAAGTATTTATAGATTATATAACTTTTATAAAAAGTAAACTTATTAAAGAAAGTAATTATAAATATTTTACCCTATAGATAATATTTTATATTTTCTTTAAACTAGGTTTATAGTAGTATTAGTTCCTATAAAAATAAATATTATAAGTAAGAAAATAAATATTTAATAAATAAGAAGAAATTTTAAAGCGCTATAGCTTATATAAAAAGAATCTAAGAAAAATAATATAATTACTTACTTTTTACTTCCTTTTTTAAAAGTTAAAAATTATAAGTTTATAATCTATAAAGCTATTTTTAGTAAAAGTTAAGTAAATATAATTAGTATTAGTTAAACTACAAGAGCTATATAAAATAAAAACTAGTATTTTTAAGTTATATAGTAATTTTAATATAAATCTAAAGTTATTTATAAACCTTAATATTAAGTAAACTACTTATTTTAAAAGAAAATAAGCTAAGTATTTAATATATAAGCTAATCGAAACTATAGGGCCTCTAAATATAATATATACTAGTATAGCTCTTAGAAGGTAAATATTTATATTTAGAAAGTATACTCAATTTACTTAGATTTAAGTTTATTTATTTAAAATTTAAAGATTAATATATAACTTATTAAATAAAATAATTTCTAAACTTCTTTAAAATAAATTTTTATTTAACTAATAAATAAACTAGTAAGTTAACTAGTTATAAAAAACTCTTCTATTAATAATATATAATTAGTAAGTTTACTTTTACTACCTAATCAAGCTAGCACTAATATAAATACTTTAATAATGTGACAGTGAAAAAGGGGATATCGGGGAAAAAGGGGACATTCTCACATGACTGCAGGGGTGGGCTGGAAGAACTTTATTCCTTGCCATGAGCCATGACCATGGTTATTTCCTTTCTTTCCTTCTTCCAGAAGGAATTCCAGAAGTTCTTCTTCTTGATAAT